AAGGTCCTCTCTCAGCCTTCTCTTCTCCAGGCTGAACAAGCCCAGCTCCCTCAGCCTCTCCTCGTAGGAGAGATGCTCCAGTCCCCTCCTCATCCTCGTAGCCCTGTGCTGGACTCTCTCCAGTAGCTCCTCATCTTTCTTGAACTGGGGAGCCCAGAACTGGACACAGCACTGCAGATGGGACCTCACCAGGGCAGAGCAGAGGGGGAGGAGAACCTCCCGTGACCTGCTGGCCACACTCCTAATGCATCCCAGTTTTCCTCCCTCCGTAGCACAAATGTGAGGACCAAGAACCACGACGGCTCTGGGATGAGCACGCTGGGCTCCCCCCAGCCCCCGAATCATCTCCACGGTCAGCAGTTACCCACCTGCCTGCCTTTACCGACTCACTGAAAACCGGAGGTAGAAAACGCGCTGAGGGATTGTGGCACCCGCAGATCGTCATTGCTCGTTAACCACACAGCTGAACAATTAGCACTGATGCTGCGGTTATGTGCAAGCGAGCGGGGCTCTGCCCTCAGCCAACAGCGAAGCCCATCACCATGGGACGGATGGAGTTCACGCATCCCCACCCAGGCGGCCAGTTCTCCCAGTTTAACTCACGTCTTGTAGATGGACGGCGAGATATTGGGCACAGAGGAAGCATTTCTCTACTGAGAGGGTGGTCAGACCCTGGCACGGGCTTCTCGGCGAGGGGGTCGATGCCCCAAGCCTGTCAGTATTTAAGAGGTGTTTGGACAATGCCCTTCATAATTTGCTTTAACTTTGGGTCAGCCCTGAAATGCTCAGCCGTTGGGCTGGATGGTCGTTGTAGGTCCCTTCCAACTGTTCTATTCTACCTAAGCCAAGAGGTCCAAGAGCCCTCACCTGTGTTCGTATCGCTTCCACTTTAGAAATAAAGTCTTTCTTCTCATGGAGCCTTCACAAAGAACGACGAGCCCCCCCACCCTCGGCCACCTACACCCACAGAGGGGTGCTGAGACGCCAGGACCTGCTGCGGGGCTGAGGCCAGATGCGGGGCTGAGGGGCTGAAGGGGGACTGGAGAAGCCGAGGAGCTGGAGAAGCTGAAGGAGCTGAGGAAGCTAAAGAGGCTGGAGAAGCCGAGGAGCTGGAGAAGCTGAAGGAGCTGAGGGAGCTAAAGAGGCTGGGGGAGGCGAGGAGGCGGCGCGGGT